TAATAACTTTATTATTGCCTCTAGGGCATATTTCCTTCAGTTTCATCTCTTCCCAAGTGTCAATGTGGTCACGGACTAGCAGCAGTTGATTTTCTTGTAGTTGGTTCCACCAAGTGAGTGTGTAACCAGAAAACTCAACACAAGCAAGGTTTACTCTCTTCGGATTAGCAAGGTTATGGATACGAAAAATCTGATCACACTGCTCTTCCCAATAAAAATATGCATCGTGGTCTTCCTTTCCTATGAACTTGGGGATGTGCAACTTGATTATTGCTATGTCATCTCGACCAACTCAGACACGATGTTCTGCACGACGCCCATCTTCAGCAGCACGACGCTATGGGACACCATCATAATCATCAAAATCATCTCCATGACCACGAGCAACACGCTCATGAGGGTCATAGTAGTGCCCACAAGGACCATGGCCTCACCCTCGAAGTTGCCCTCCTCACTGCCCTCCATGAGCAGCAGCCACACGTCCACCATACTTGTTGTTATCATCCTCCAAGGCACCGTCGACAGCAGCATGCACGGAATTCTCATCCCCAACTTCCTAAAGTGGGTCAATAGGGTGTTGTCGGTGTCGAACCCTATCGCCACCTGCTGGAGGTCACTCATGAAACATCCTTCCAAGTTCTCGAACCATGTTTCGTAATTCCTGAAAATCAGCATGTGTGACTGGGGCATCTTCTTCCCCATGGTTTTCTCCATGAACACTCGATCTAGATCCTGCCATGTTAGTAAGGCCAAAAGTGGAATAGGGTAATTCTGTGGAATCACACAACCTCACCTCTTACTCATCAAAGTTCTTATGAGTTCACATCAGATTGTGCTTCTCCCGGATGTGTTAAAGCGATTAGAAGACAGGAATAAAAGAATTAGCTTAGGTTTTTGGTGGAGCTCGTTGAGGTAAACAAAAAGGGGCTTGTGCTGAAATCAAGTTGATGCAAACCAAGAAAATATGGGAATAGATCTGTTGCACCTTTGCATCAAGATTGAAAAACACACAACACACAAGCTTCTGAAATTTTTCTACCAAGCTGAAACTTTTGGATCTTACACAACACTTTCTTTTTCTCTCTTGACTTTTTTTCCACTCTTTTTTTCTCTTTGATTTTTCGTCAATTTTTTTCTCTCTTTTTCCAAAGCACAACAACCAAATCTGAAAGCAATTACGAAGATGAACTTGGTGCAGATCTAAAAGATGAAGAACATGCAAGGTATGCAACAACAAGATCTCAGCACCAACAAGGTTTGGATTTATTTTTGGTGGGGCTTTGGACTTCTAGGATAGAAAATGTAGCATGAAAACACTCGATCTAAAGGGATTATAGCAAGATAAACTTGGATAACAAATCCTACCGTGTCAACGAAGGCTCTGATACTAGATGATAGGTGGGAACCCGCTGAATGAGTTCACGCCTGAGGGTGGCTCGATCCCCACGTCGTAGGATCGAATCGGAAGGGATAACTAGCTGCAAGCAGCCGAGATAACTAGCTTTATACCTGCCAAGGTTGGATGCAACCCGTACGTTGGGGATGGCTGGCTGAAACTCAAGAACTCCAACCCGTTGTCCGGACAATCATAGAACCACAAACCGGGACTAATTCACACAAAACGGCCAGAACCGTAGAGCACAAACTAGGGGGAACCAAAGGCTCCTTCTCACGAATCCGAATGAACTCACAAGAGTAAAGGTAGCAAGATCTCTCGGATCTCTCTAGCAGTCTTGCTGCATAAGCTTATAGCTAAATGGTTTGACAAAAGGTTCCTAAGAGGATGGGGAAGACGGGATCTTATAGTAGGGACAACCTCCCCTTAGTTAGGTGTGAAAATGGTTTCAAAAGTAAACAGGTTTGCATGGCTTTCTTGGGGGAATAAGCAGTCAGCTTTGAGAGTTGTTGGAGAGCTCCTCGAAAATTCGCGAAGCCTTGACAACCTGGACACCTTCCACGAGAATGACTACAGCTTTTGACTCACAACTCCAAATGAGGTGAGATTTTTTGCATTGGAAAGATAATTTGATGTAGCTTATGTTGGTGTAACCCTATGGCCCCGTATTTTCACCACATGAGTGTGGCACAACGAAACATCTGAGCTAAAAATTGATAGCATCGGCTTCACTTGAAACTTGTTTTCTCCAAACCGGTTGCTTCAAGAGCTCATAGCTTGTTGGATTTCTTCCATGTGATACCTAAATTCAACCAACAAAAATGTGGATGAAAGCATAGTTGTGTCATCAAGGTTACAAGGTAAACTTAAGTTATCGTTCACCTGGTCACTTATTAGTTTGGCGCGGCTTCTTGTGATTGGACCTATAATTGTTGGAGATTTGTCGATGGTTGTGGTGTCCTCATCAGCCCCCCCCCCCTTCCTTGTATGCATGCGGGGGTAGGGGGGAGGCAGGAGGAGGTGGCACACCCCCCCCTTCCTTCCTCCTAGGTGGAGGGAAGGAAAGAGGGGCTAGCCCTCCCCCCTTTCTATCCCTAGGGCCGGCGGCCAAGGGAAGGGGTGCGCCAGCCCCTTGTGGGCTGGTGTGTTCCCCCTCTTGGCCCATAAGGCCCATTAACCTCCCGGGGCTTCTCGGAACCCCTTCCGATGATCTGATGACTATCCGATACACTTTGAAACATTTCCGGTGACCAAATATCATCGTCCTATATATATATCAATCTTTTACCTCTGGACCATTTCGGAGCTCATCGTCATGTCTGTGATCTCATCTGGGAATCCGAACAACATTCGGTCACCAAATCACATAACTCGTATAATACTATATCGTCAACGAACGTTAAGCATGCGGACCCTACAGGTTCGAGAATGATGTAGACATGACCGAGACGCCTCTCTGGTCAATAACCAATAGCGGAACCTGGATGCCCATATTGGTTCCTAAATATTTTACGAAGATCTTTATCGGTCGAACCTTATGACAACACGTAATTCTCTTTGTCTGTCGGTATGTTACTTGCCCGAGATTCGATCGTCGGTATCTTCATACCTAGTTCAATCTCGTTACCGGCAAGTCTCTTTACTCGTTCCGTAATACATCATCTTGTAACTAACTCCTTAGTCACTTTTCTTTCAAGCTTCTTGTGATGTGTTTTACCGAGAGGACCCAGAGATACCTCTCTGAAACACAGAGTGACAAATCTCAATCTCGATCCATGCCAACTCAACAGATACATTCGGAGATACATGTAGAGCATCTTTATGATCACTCAGTTATGTTGTGATGTTTGATAGCACACAAGGCATTCCTCAGGTGTCTGGAAGTTGCATGATCTCATGGTCGAAGGAATATGTATTTGACATTAAGAAATCAGTAGCAACAAAATGAACGATCATATGTTAAGCTAACGGATGGGTCTTGTCCATCACATCATTCTCCTAATGATGTGATCCCGCTATCAAGTGACAACACATGTTCATGATTAGGAAATCTTAACCATCTTTGATCAACGAGCTAGTCTAGTAGAGGCTCACTAGGGACACGGTATTTGTTTATGTATACACACATGTATTTAAGTTTCCGATCAATACAATTCTAGCATGAATAATAAACTTTTATCATGAATAAGGAAATATAATAATAACAACTTTATTATTGCCTCTAGGGCATATTTTCATCAATGTGTTTTATAAGAAAAAATAAAGACACAACAAGAAATAAAATAAAGACCCCATAAATATGGGATGTGCACCATAAAGAAATAAAGATGGGGTGTTATGGCAAGAAGTAAATAGTGTTGATTATAATTAAAGAGTCTGTGGTATTTTTCTTCCGTTGCAATGTATGATCCCTTTTGCTAGTAATAAATAAATAAAGGGCAAATGTTTCTACCCGTACATCGTTGAACGTTATTTTCTATCATGGTCGCACGTTGTTTTCTATTAGGCTTGCAAGACCCGTTATTTCTATTGGGCCTGTAGACGCACGGGCCCTTTTGCTAGCAAAAAAATAAAAGGCAAATGTTTCTACATGTACGTCGTTGCACGTTATTTCCTATCGTGCTTGCAAGTTATTTTATATTGGGCTTGCAAGGCCCGTTATTTCTATTGGGCCTGTAGACGTATGGATCTTTTGCTAGTAATAAATAAATAAAGGGCAAATGTTTCTACCCGTACGTGGTTGCACATTATTTCCTATCATGGTTGCAAGTTATTTTCTATGGGGCTTGCGAGGCCTGTTATTTCTATTGGGCATGTAGACGCACGGGCTCTTGACTTTGCATGGTTATTGATACATGACTTTAACTGTTAATATATACCAGAGTACATGGATTAAACACATGCATAAATGACATCATCATCGTATTTGTCTTGCAAAACAATTTTATTTTATAAGTCTTTACACTAATTTTACAGACATAGACATACAATAAGTGAAAATCGTAGTCAAAGTCACGCAACAAAGACCAGAAAAAATGAACCGCACCTTATATTTTGGGAAATAGTACTGTAGCAACATACTACTGAATTTACTGAGAAGCATGTATCAGTGAGTAGGTCAAAAAAATAAAAATCCACGGCAATTTCAACTGAATTAACAAACTGTCGTGATGCCAAACTAAACATGCAATTCCAACTTTAAATCTTACTCCTACTCATCATAACTGAAATTCTCTCCCCTCCAACCAGCAAACGAGACAGCCGTGAAGCAAAGCATTATTTCCTTCCGTACGAACCCTAAATACCGGCACGCACCGGCCGTGCAACCCCCCTCCTTTGACGAACACAAAAAGGCTTCTCCAACCTGTGTCGATCACACGCTGCTTGGGTCGTTGCTGGGCACATGATCCAAGCCGGTCGAGCGTACTGCGTACGTCCCCCGAGGCACCACCTACCTACCCATCCCCCAACCACCTCGCATCTACGCACTTGCCACCCGGGCGCCAAGCTGCCCGGACGGCCTGTATAAAGCGCGCGCGCGTAGCCTGGCCGCCCGTGCATCTATATTCTCTCCAAGTCTCAAGCGTACGTACGTCGCGAGCAGATGGGCGCCGCTCTCGTTCCTCTCCTCGTCTACGTAGTGCTCGTGGTGGTGGCGGCGGCGCGTGCCCCGGCGGCGTCCGCGGCGCCGCGGGCCTTCTTCGTCTTCGGCGACTCCCTCGTCGACAACGGCAACAACAACTACCTCCTCACCACCGCGCGCGCCGACGCGCCGCCCTACGGCATCGACTTCCCGTCGCACCGCGCCACGGGCCGCTTCTCCAACGGCCTCAACATCCCCGACATCATCAGTAATGCAGTACATTCCATGCCTCCATTCGCCATGCATGCATCTCAATTTCAGATAGGAGAATGCTGCTATGTTGAGCTCGAACTCGAGCACACAATGTCAGGCACTGACGCGGTGACGCCGTCGTTTCAGGTGAGCACCTCGGGGCGGAGCCTGCGCTGCCGTACCTGAGCCCGGAGCTCCGAGGGGCGAAGCTGCTCGTGGGCGCCAACTTCGCGTCGGCCGGCGTCGGGATCCTCAACGACACGGGAGTGCAGTTTGTACGTGCTCCATTTCCCTGACATATTAACATGCATTGACGGCTTATGTATAATGCATGCATGATTGGTCGAGCAGGTGAACATAATTAGGATGGGGGATCAGCTGCGTTACTTCGGGGAGTACCAGCGCAAGCTGAGGGCCTTCGCCGGCGAGGAGCAGGCGGCGAGGCTCGTCAACGGCGCGCTCGTGCTCATCACGCTGGGAGGCAACGACTTCGTCAACAACTACTACCTGGTGCCCATGTCCATGAGGTCTCGCCAGTACGCTCTCCCGGGCTACGTAAGCTTCATCATCTCCGGGTACAGGAAAATCCTCGCGGTAAGTCTTCCGGTGAATTTACAGTTGATGTTCCTCCCAAATTTGTGCACAGTGCGCTAGGTAATTAGGATTTTTTTTGCGAGTAGGTAATTAGTAATTAGAACGTACTAGTACGTTCAACTGTTTGTTGCTTAACTGCAAACTGACATGGCCATAAGAAGTAAGGGCATGTGGCACGAAGAAGAGAGTGACAGATCTGGTATTTTTATCGTATATTCAAGTTGTTGCTCTAGCTGCAGCCTGACATGGCCGATTCGTGCATGCACGCTGCAATAGAATTATGACCGAATTGAAGCAAGAAGGAAGATCTCCACATAAATGGATGCCAGATTTGCGACTACAGTTCCAACGATCGAGTACTGCTCATGAATTAAGTTTGAGCACATGAAAAAACATAGACCAGCCAGCAGCACTTGATGACCTACCAATCAAATCAACTGGTGCAGCATGAATCCACACACATTTTGCCCAAGCTGTAAAGACAAGTGTAAATGGAGCCAGCAAAGGGTACCGTAGGTGCAGGGTAAAGACAACCGTATACACATGGCGACTTGGCGACCGACGGAAGTTGCAGCATTCACTCCTGGCGCGCTGCAGCACGTACGGTGCATGTGCAGTGCAGTGCAGCAGCTTCTCGAATTCACTCGCCCTCCATTCCGAATGAGACCGATGAACTGACACCGCGTGTGCGTGCAGAGGCTGTACGAGCTGGGGGCGCGGCGCGTGATCGTGACGGGGACAGGGCCGCTGGGGTGCGTGCCGGCGGAGCTGGCGCAGCACAGCAGCAACGGCGAGTGCGCGGCGGAGCTGAACCGCGCCGTGGACCTCTTCAACCCGCAGCTGGTGGACATGGTGCGCGGCCTCAACCGCGACGCCGGCGCCGACGTCTTCGTCTCCGCCAACGCCTACCGCGCCAACTTCGACTACCTCACCAACCCGCAGAGCTACGGTAAACACGTGCTTGCCTGCCGCCGCCCAGAGCGACATCCCGCAGAACGCCGCCGTGTGATCGTTGATACTGATTGGTTCTTGTGGTTGCCTTCGTGCGTGCGTGCAGGGTTCACGAACGTGAAGGTGGCGTGCTGTGGGCAGGGGCCGTACAACGGGATCGGTCTGTGCACGGCGGCGTCCAACGTGTGCGCCAACCGGGAGGTGTTCGCCTTCTGGGACGCCTTCCACCCCACAGAGCGGGCCAACCGGATCATCGTCGGCCAGTTCATGCATGGGTCCACCGACTACATGCACCCCATGAACCTCAGCACCATACTCGCCATGGACCAGCTGCAGGAGGGTTCTCTTTAGCTAATTACCACTGCTATGTATTATTAATCCTCCTGATCGATCGATGTCACGTGTACTTGGCTAGAAGTAGTTTGCTCCTAGGGCAGGGTGTGTGCATGTGCGTTTACAGGAGCCAGTGTATTTGTGTATGTGCTGTGTTTAAAAAAGATAGCTGGCCAAGTAAGAGCATAATGTTTCAGTGCCTTTTTGTACTGCGTACAAATGACACGGATATGATGCAACAGTCAAAATAATGCATTCAGTGCTATTTTTCTGTTCTGCGTGCAAGTTTCTGTCCAAAAGAAAAGGTCATGAGTGAACATTCTATCTCGATGGTCACGACGTGAAGGATACTTGTTACTGAATTAAGTTTATACCTGATTCCTTTCTGAAGAAAATAACCAAATCTTCTTTGAAGTGAATTCAGCTTTGTCCACACAAAAAACAGATGATTATATTGATGCACGTCCTAGAAAACTGCTAAGAACGGAGTGAACTGATGGGATGAACATGGTACATATAAATGAAATTTGACTTTAACAATTGTTTAATACAATAAATGAGCAACATTGTGGCCATCAAAATTAACAATATACAAAAGTTGGGACAAGCTGCATATTGTCCGATGTTTCAGCTGAGTCACATGATCAATTTTCCCATCCTCCTATGCATGGTTGCATGCTAGAAGAGTAAAAATGCAGGAGCAAAATGCTCACGACGGCTGCAAAAGCACAAACTCGTGCAGCATTCCGACGAAATTTAAGGCTACTTCGCTGCTTCCCATGTTTATTAAGTCAGTGGATTAACTACTACTCCCTCCGTTCCTAAATATTTGTCTTTCTAGACATTTCAAATGACTACTACATACAGATGTATGTAGACATATTTTAGAGTGTAGATTCACTCATTTTGCTCCGTATATAGTCACTTGTTGAAATGCCTAGAAAGACAAGTATTTAGGAACGGAGGGAGTACACATTTACAAGTGTATCTCTGTAGAGCTCTAGAGTAGAGCAAATTAGCCCCATCAAAATTTTACTAATCAAGCACTGAGAAGACTGGGACACCCTTGGCACTGAAAGTGTCGCATTTCACAAGCACTTCCTCTCCAACCTCAAAGTTGTTCTGGCTATTTTCCTGCAAAAACATTCACCCGAATTTCAGTACCAACGACCAAAAGATGACATAACCACAACGGGTTCAAAAAATTGAACAATGTACGAAATACTGCGTGCGGCAGCATTAACCAATAAAGAACACCAGAGAGATGGGTAGGAAATTACCACAAACTTGTGCATTCCACGAACTCCATCACTCAGCTCAAGTACTAATCCATAGGCCCGTATTTGGTAGACCTTTGCAGTAACTACATCGCCCAGCTTTATAGAACCTGAGCGGAAGTTCTTGGGACTCGAATGCTTCAGGGTATTGCTTATTTCCTGTTCTGGAATGGCATTGAGCCCATTACTTGCAGAATCATCAGCCTTCCCTTTATCGAGCCCATTACTTGCAGAATCATCAGCCTTTTCTTTCTTACTTTTCTTGGCAGTTGACGTAGTTGACGCTTTCTTAGGGGTAGCTTTCCTAGCCTCCTGCTGTTCTTTGGTTGGTTTAGATGCTCTAGGGGATGGCTTTGCAACCTTAGAACTTGCCGCCTTTGAACGTTTCTTAGTAGGACCATTTGCAACATCTTGAGCATCACAGTCAGCAGCACTGCGAATTATAACTGTAGGAGTAGAAAATGCAGGCGTTTCCTCAGTTGTGTCATCTTCATCTTTGCTATTGGATGAATTGACATCAGCATCCTTGCTGGGCATGTTCTCCACGGCGGCCCAACCAACAAGGTCTTGATTTGGCAAAAGAGTAGCATCCTCACTTGCTAACTCCTTTTCAGGCTGATGGGAATGGGGTAGGTTTGCTTTGAGTGAAAGTTTAATATTACCCCTCACGTCCTGTCCAATGCATGTCAATGAGAGCGCTTGACCAACAGATATAATATCCGTGACTTTTGAAACCTGATGGAAGAAAGGAAATAAAACAAAATAAACAAATAATAGTTAGAACTAATTAAAAGCTGCTTTGCCAGTATATAGAATACAATGGAGAACTTATAAATGCGGTGTAGAAGGTAACAAAAACTCTGGTTCATGGTTTTTTGTGGCACAGTGTCATTGCTCCTTGTCTATTATAGTTATAGTGAGTCAAGGCAGTAAAAGGAGGGGCATCGCAAGCACCACTTTCATTCAAAAGGAGAGCAAAGAGGAATCTCTATTAACAGAAAGAAAAAAGCAGGAGTCTAAACTAGGATTGGTGGTGGACCAACCCAATCTGTTCTTCAAACCAAGTAAGAAAGGCTTGAACCAAAGAGACCAATCCAATCCTGGAACCAAATATTCTTTAAAAAATTCAAACGGTATCAGCAAACACTTTTCAACTTGAGTACCACATACCCAAAAATATTCATGCACCCTCCGTTAACAAATGTAAGATGTTTTGGTTATTTTAATATAGACTACATACGGACTGAAATGAATGAACCAACACACTAAAACGTGTCTATATACATCCGATTCAGAAAAAAGTTAGAACATCTTATATTTGTGAACAGAGGGAGTATATTCTGAAGGAATGGCACTGAATTATTCAAGGCAAAGTAAAAGAATCGAGATAGTCAGTCCTATCAACCTTCTACAAAATTTCATGATAAAAACTGGTCCATGAAACAACTCAGAAATGTGAAGCAGAATTTCAAGAGAAATACCGGTTCATGTGATAGCTCAGAAATGTGAAGAAGACCTTGCTGTCCGCCATTGAAATCCACAAAAGCGCCATACTCCTTTATTGAGGAAACAATTCCTTTGTATGTCTTGCCAACTTCAATTTCACGACCCACAAGAAATTCAACCTGCAAAGACATAGAACAGGTTAAACTTTCTCATGTAAAGATTCTTCCTCCCAAACACTTGCAAGGAATGATAAAAGAAGGTGATGTCATATCTGGCTTAAGCGACCTGCCATTGAATAACTGATACATACCTTCTCAATAGCCTTATCCATAATTGGCTGAGTTTTAGCAACAATAGTGACTGTACCATCACTAACAGATACCCGTGCACCTTGAGAAAATGGAAATTAGTTACAAAGTTAGCTGCCTAAAATTCTTACAAAATACAGAAGGGATAGCTAAATGAACTACATACATGGATTCAAATATACAAGTTACGAAACAGAATGGTGACAAAATATGCCCATATTGAGTTTCTTTTAGAATACGTCCATATCCAGTTAATCCTGAAGGGAACTTGAATTTCTGACTTTGGCTTATCACAGACATGCAGATCTAGACCTCCACACAAAGTGACAGCTAATAGTAACAGCCCAAAAGCAAGTCTGTAGAAACACAGCCCAAGGAGTATTAACATCAAAGAGCGTGGTTTTATTTTTACACCCCTACTGCTACCGAGCAGATGATGATGACGCCACCCCAAGCTACTTGACCATATATCAGGACTTGAAATGAATAAGCCATTTCGTGATGACAGAATAAAGGTTGTATCGCCCATGTTTTACACATGACAGTAGCGTACACTTGTTTTTTTATTAGGGTGTGAAATGTGGATGCGCTCCGTTTTGGAAAAAAAATGTGTATGCGCTACAGTGAAAAGATAAAAATATGTGAATCTCCAAGCACGAACTCACGTGGGATCTACAGGTGGTATGTAGCAACATATGTTCCTATCATCAAATGAAACAATCTGTATCAGTATTTTATTCTTATTATTAGTCCAGGTTCTGCAACCATAAAGAAAAACTTCAAATTTCAAAGAATGCAACCCTGCAATCAGTCAATGCTCAGCTGAGATTAATCTTTTAGTCTTTACAAATATCAAAAAGTATTCATTTCATTTCATGAAGGGGAGCCTTGGCGCAAGCGGTAAAGCTGTTGCCTTGTGACCATGAGGTCACGGGTTCGAGTCCTGGAAACGGCCTCTTGCAGAAATGTAGGGAAAGGCTGCGTACTATAGATCCAAAGCGGCCGGACCCTTCCCCGGACCCTGCGCAAGCGGGAGCCACGTGCACCAGGCTGCCCTTTTTTATTCATTTCATTTCATCTAGGCAGAGTCGATGATGGTTCTTAGTGTTGCCTTCAAAAAATCAATTCAGTTTTTCTACAACGAAAAAGAAAAGTGCAAACAGGATCCAAAATAAGTTGCCAAAAACTGAAACACATGTTATCAATCATCAAAATAATTTGTGGCACAGCAGACAATTACAAAATTCCACAAACTAGTACTCCCACTGTCATAATATAAGACGTTTTTTGACACTGTCAGTCTCAAAAAACGTCTTATATTATGAGACAGAGGTAGCAATATTTAACCCTCGCGTCAAATGTGACATGAATAATGTCTTAAAGAAGAGCTTAAGAAACGGCATGAACAAAAATCAGGTAAAACCTAGCTTTATACCTGTATCTTGCTCAATTTTTTTCCTGTGGAAAAGCAATTTCCTAAGAGAATCACTGCTGAAGCTCAGTGTGGCTGCAAATAGAGAGGCAATTGTGACATCAACAAATCAACCTAACCTAAAAGGGAACAGTGAAAGTGCATCAACAAACCTAATCGAGGAGAACTTCCATCATTGATAGCACGAGCAGAACTTATTTCCTGATCCATGCGATCAAGGATTTGATTACGAGCCTTTCGTGCAGGCTCCAAACTTTCACATACTATGTCCAATGGTATTCCAGCAGGTTTTATATCCAGCTGAATAGCAGTAATACCTCTCCTTGTTCCTGCAATTTTGAAGTCCATGTCACCCAGGTGATCCTCAAGACCCTGAGTACATCGATGGCCATGATTAGTTCAGAAAGGAATTTTTTGCTCTAGCAACATATACAGTTAGTCAAAATCTGACAAGGAAAATGAAGAGTGTCTAAGACTTACTAAAATATCCGTTAATATACGGTAACTAGAAATATCTCCAGTAGTTGGGTCTGTTTCACTGACAAGACCCACTGA